ATGAGGTCTAAGAAAAGAGGCAAAGTTCAGTCATTCTGGGGCTCCTCGCCCCCACCTTCGGCATCCCCAAAAGTATCTTTGGCTGGCTCAGTCTCCATCTCGTTTTCAGTAAGGGCAACTTCCTCAGTCTCCATGGCCTGACTAGCAGCGACTTTYGAGTTTTTATCCATCGCTCCCTCAGTGAGGCCCTCGTTACTCTCTTCGTCAGAGTTTGGCTCTTGGTCAGCTTCCACAACCATCTTGGTGGTAACTCTGACTGTTGTGACCACTCTGAGGTTGAGCTTGGGGAACTTACGCTTGGTCAACCGGTGACAAAATTTAAAGCCCTTCTGGAAGGCTTCTGAGCCGAGCTCCTCCCTTAACTGATCGAACTCCGACGAGGCTTTGTAAGAATTGACCGCAACTACCTCAATGCCCTTAATTCCCTAAATAAGAGCAACCTCACGCTCGACAAAGGAAACTTTATGCTCCTCGGCCTCCTTCGCCAGTTTTTCGTTCTGCTCCTTCCTCACCGCCACTTCGGTCTCTAGCTTCTAGATAGTGTTGATAGCTTTCAACATCCAACTTTGGCACTCCATGACTATTACCTTGGCGCGTTCAGCCTTTGCCTCGACGGCCTTTACCCTTGCAACATGCTAGTCGGTCTGCTAAAGAAGGGAATGGATCATGCCTGCAAAGAGAGAGAGAGAGAGAGAGAGAGAGAGAGAGAGAGAGAGAAATTTACTAAGTACTAAAGATGGGGTGAACCGAAGCAAAGTATCGAGATTGGAAACATACCACCATAATGCGACTCACAACCTTAGCACCCAGTTGAGCATGAGGCAGCCCACCAAACTTAGTGACCTCCTTGGGAAAAACTGCCTCCTTACTCTTTGTGAGGCTAGTCTRGGTGTTCAGGATGATTTGGACCATCTGGGGGCCTTCACAAGGAGAATTGGCCCTGGGATAAATTGTTTGAGGCTCGAATGACGGAACCACCTCGGGTCGGTAAGGCGACAACTCCTTCTCTTGGTCCTCCTCGACCAAGTTGATGACCAGGGGGTCCTTGATTTGAACAGGGGCGGAAGGCTCAGTCGTAGGCACTTGGGAAGAGTCACCCCGGGACGTCTTCCTCTTCTTCATGCCAGCGAAGAGGTTAGTCATTGGGACACTCGCCATAACGCCTATGGAAAGCAAACACTAGATTAGTCGAAGTAATATAAGGGAAGATAGCACGGAAAAAGCAAAGTGTGTGTGTGCCGAAGTGATGACCTACTCGGGGGACTCAGCCCAGCCTTGACAAGCTTATCCTTGACCAAATAGTCTTCTAATTTCAGGTCGAGCTCAACCATGGATCGCATCTTCTTCTTCATCTTCCTACTTAGCCAGTCCCCGGTGTCACTGATGCCCTCCCTCCAATGGGTTGGAAAAGGACATCCCCTATCAACAGTTAAAATGAAGTACCTCCTCTTCCAAGCAGGGACCTTAGAGGGATACTCGTGCAGAAGTTTGTATCTAGGTTGGTAAGCGAGGTAATAACTATACTTCTCTATTCCCTTAGGGCTGATTGGGTTTTTCTTGATGGTACAAAGTGAACTGAAAATGTCTAAATCTAGAGGGAGGCCATAGTCATGAAAAAGGGAGATGATTCCGACCAGGGTGCGGACCGAGTTCGGATGGAGTTGGTCAACAGTAATGTCAAAAAACTTCAGAGCCTCAACGATGAATACGTGAAGATGGAAATGGAGCCCAGCAATCAACTGCTCTTCGAAAATGGCAATCTCGTCGGGATCATGATCCCAAGGAAAGTTCTCCAAAGATAGGCTATAACCATAGTTGTTTGGAATTTTTAATTGATCCACCAAGGCTTGGATTCGTTCAAGTGTCAGGGTGGAAGGATTGAAGCAATCCAGTCTTGGAGATGGATGGACGTGACGAGAAGACGATGCTTTTCTACTAGACTTTTTTCGTTCCTGAACCGAGGCATCCACCTCCACTGGACTGGGGTCTGAGTCTTGCGCCGAGGCTCAACTAGGTTGGATTCTAGATCTTGTGCAGAGGTACCCACCTTGGTAAGGTTGGATCCTAGATCTTGGGCCAAGCTTCCCACCTTGGCCCGACCGGACTCCCCATTATCATCAAACAAACAAACTGTGCTACAACTATACATGCTGAAACCAAGAAACAAACTCAAAGCAGGAAACTAAGGCGAGGAAAGACGACTTACCTAAGAAAGAAGAAAGGAGAACGACCTCGGAGATGGGAGAAAGATCACCGACCTGGAAGCTAGCATGCGACCTCTGGAACATGAGAATTCAGATCAAGACAAAGTGAATGGGACCCCAAGGCCCCTATTTATAGCCGTTGTAGTTGATCATGGATGGCTCAGTTTGATCCGGTGGCTCCTATAAAAATCGATCGCACGACTTTCAAGGTCAAAATCGGTTGAGCATGCGTTTTGACGTCTGTGCATCCCCACTACGCGATCTAACTTTATGGTTGAACCGGTTGGGTCATCAAAATTTGACCTCTAGGCCGGATCTCGACCAGGACGAAGACCGAGCCAAATTTATCTAAGCTCGTCATGAACTCCCCGCTCCGGGTCAGGACCCTCGACACGGGGAGTGGGGGGCAATTGATGAGGGGTGATTTGGCCCGACCTATTCATACACGGACACGTGGAAGCAACCCGCTGATTAGACATCGACTCGGCATTCCTTGCCACCTCAGCGAGCTAGGTCACCTCGGGTACCTCGGCTAGGATTGAGGTCCGAGCAACTCATGATGGCCTGACCTGCCGAGGTGACATGTAGTCAACTTCTAGATGCAAGCCAGTTGTCTCCAACCTCTTCGGGATCACGCCACACGTCTGTAAGTCTTATACTCATCCCGCCTAGATCAAACAGACTTGATAAGCCTTATCGGCTAGAATGAAGTCCACCTCCTGGTGTGAAACAAACTCCTAACGACATGAGTTGAGGACCTTGGAGGTGTTTCATGAGACCTACAACAGCTCACCTATATAAGGGAACCAACCCCAACGTCTCAAGATATGCACGATTTACTACTCATTAGCCTACTAGCATTCAATCATTCAGTTCGCTCAACGAAAGTACTAACTTAAGCATCGAAGTGCCCACACTGAGTAAGCTACCCCGGGTCCTCTGAGCCTTTCTCCTCTTGCAGTTCGATCGCCAAGCTAAGCAACCGACATCCGAGCTGCCCTCCAGCTAAGAGCATCCAGATCGCGCGCAATCAATTATCATTTTCATCATCATAAAAAATTACCACATGTAAAGCATGGGCATACTCACTAGTACAAAAAGGATGCCAAAGTACATGGATGGAGAAACCTAATTGCAAAACCCAACCTAGTCTATGTGTGTCAACATCTTTATATGAAAATTCTTAAGTTCAACACTTGGTGGAATCAATCCTTCCAAAGATAAGGATGTAATTAATTAATTAAATTTCAGTACAAAGTATGGGTCACCCTGTGCTTGTCCATACTTCAAGCCCAATAAAGTATGTAGGACATGTTACAAAATGGAAAACCTATTCAGAGGCATCACCTCTCACCTTAAGCTTTTAGGTTGAACAATTTCTTGAGATGGTATTAGAGTCTATTTGACCACTTGATCTAATGTTTCATCTTTGTTACCTTCATATTATATCTAATTAAATTTCTAGAATGTGGTATGGGCAGACGTGACCAAACAGTGCTTTCGAGTTCAACGGTTCCTTAAGCCTAGGGGTGTCAACGGTATTTGAAAATCCAATTTTGAATTTGAGATTCAACATAACCGAATTGAATTCAAATAATTTGAATATCTAATCGATCGAATTTGGATATCCTATTCATATTGAATAGCTAATCGGATTCGAATTCGAATATGACTTCATTAAATTCAATAAATATCCAAATTCAACTGATTATTTAATTCTTATATATAATATATGAAATATTTAAATATTTTATATAATTTATATATATAATAATTAAATTGTATAAATATTTTATATATTTATATACTATATATAAATAAAATATTTATTTTATGTATTTATTAATTACCTAAAATAATTAATTGGTCGAATTCGAATATCAAATTTTCTAATCAGGTTCGAATTCGGATATTGCCTGATTTCGATTCGAAATCGATCCGTTTACACCCCTACTTAAGCCTGTCAATTATGCGGGTCAATCCAATTGACCCACTTAACTGTACTATATTTTTTTAGCAAGGATTTTAAAATAGGACCGGTTCCTAGGTCTGACTGTTTGGTTTGAATGGACAGCTTGTTCTGACTTTAAAAAAATAAATAAATAAAAAAAACGGCAAAAAACTATTGTTTGGATTGATGGTTCAATGGTTCGACCACTTGGGTCAGCGAGTCACTGATCAAATCGATGGTTTTTGCAAGGTTCAAAGTATCGATACGTATTGTGTCGGTGGCTTCCCGATATGCCCCTACAAGGGATGTATCGGGGTCCTAACTGGTTCAGGGGGTGGAGGAGCCTTAAATTGGCCCCCCAGAACCGGTTTTGAAACAAAATAAAAAAAAGCAAAAAAACACTATTGATATCACCCGATACGCCCCTACCGGCATATCAGGCGTATTGATATTTTGAACCTTGGGTTTTTGGCCAAAAAGCGATTTTAGGGTGAAAGGGTAACTGGTTCCCAGTTTTTTGCTCCAACCGTCCGGTCCGGTCCGGTCCGATTTTGGAAACCATGTTTGTTAGTGTTAATGCGAAAAGATTACACGCCAAGTACATTCATTTGAAATAGCAAAAAAAAAAGTACATTCATTTGTAATTGATCTTCTTACAGCTACTTATATCTGACCAAATACCGAATTGAACCTGGATCTCAAATGTCCTGAATACTTGTGTTGTTCATACATTTAAATTTACTATGTTGAGCCCTAAAAGCTAAATTCTCAAGCTTTACTCAACTTCAGAAACCAGTCTAGCACCATTATACTAAATTATTAAGCAGAGAAGAAAGGCAAATGTGTTGATCAAGAAGGAAACATGAAGTAGCCATTGATTTGTCTTCTTCGAGTGTTTGACATGGTAAGAATATCTCTATTCTACTCTGTCACAACTCACAACTCATTCGAAGGTGACTGAAAACGAGTAATCAAACATGTGGTGATCAATCAGATGGCATTGAGCAACACTGATTACAAGAGCTAACAACCTTTTGGTCAATAAAAGTAAAACAATGAATCAGAGTATAAAAACGAAATTATCGTGAAGTGTGCCCAAAAAAATTAAAAAATATATATATTCCTGCTCCCACCCCGTTAACTTAAGAAATTTTGCCGCAAGGAAACCACCCAAGTACCTAACTAAATCCTGATAGAATTGGGGAAAAAGCAAACAAAAGAGAACAATGACACATGAGCTCATATTGACATCTGATAATTTTTCTTTCTTGTTTTGATATTGGAGGCCGTCAACCAGACCTAGTTCTTCCTCTTCCTTATCTTGAAGGTACAGGACCGAATAACATCATCATCAGCCTTCAGTCTCTCCTCAAGGGCTGCTATGGACTCTGGTTTCGTGAAATAGGTGAAAAGCAGATAGATACCATCCAAATATGTGTTGCTCTCTCCAGCCGTGTTTTTCTTCTTAATGCTGTATGCAAGAGGAATGACTCCTCTGTTGAATACTTCCACGTACATGCCACCCCCAGCAACAAGCAACTGTAAGAGAAAACCCACTGAAAAATATCTTTTCTGCGCACTGAAATTTTAGAACAAACGAGCATAGTTGGGAAATCAAACAAGCCACATTATTTCCTGCTCAAGTGAGGCATTTAATCTTTATGAAGTCAAAAGATCACACAACTGCACTAGGCCAAGTAATCCCTAGTTTTCCCCATTAAGCAGATCCTTCCATCTAAATTTCGTAAAAAAGAAATATAATAATCAATTCATCCCTTTTATTAATAATTATATTCTTATATTAGCCATGTAAGATCAACATTAGTTGTTTGGTTGCTGGTAAGCTAGAGGTTTCAGCCTCTTGGGGAAAATAATTTGAAATCTACTCCAATTTTCATTGGGTTGATGTGGAAGAAGAGGAGGTCCCACATATTTGACAAGAAGACATCAGACTGTAATGTGCTTATGGGGAGAATGTTAGCTTGATGGGTCCTGATTCTTAAAGATCCTCAAGGTTTCATGCTTTGATGCATAGAGGATACATATATACACACTTGTATATAATGGTACCAACCCATCAGCCACGTACTGTTTCTTGTGATGGGTTTTCTGTACAAAAGATCCATCCTCATTCAACAAAAATAACAGAAGGAACCAGTGGAACCTTTCTGTTTTCTTTTTCGTTTTGGTCAATGCAAAAGGAATTTTCACTTAACAAATTCCAACCATAAGAACCAAGTCAACTTAACAGAAGACAAGGCTTGAAAATTAGGAACCGAGTCAACTTAACAAAACTTTCATGATCATGTTGCGTAGATCTTTAATCCCAAGAGAATTAAGAAGCATCTGAATTGCTTTCATGAACAATAGTTTGTACCAACCTTTCTTGTTTAGCTCCTTGAAATGGTTAGGAGGAGATGATATCCATTCTTCTATTTGAAAAACAAATGAATAGGGAAGGGGGTGGTGGTGGGGATTTTTAGTCATGCTTCAGATATCTAAATCAGATATTGGCAAAGGATGTTTGATTATCAAAGACAAACCAAGACCGGCCAATGATCAAGTAGCATATTATTAGTTCCATTCAACACAGACACCAATAAACATTTTGTTTTCCTCTTGATTTCATTCTGTATTCAGGTACTTACTGATGTGAGGGGCCTTTCTGCATGGAGCCATGGACCCTAGGATGACCACAGGTGAAATATTTCATCCAAGTGAAGACCAGAGTAACTAAAATCATTCAAATATACATCTAAACTCTCATCTATAAGATTCAAGAAAGTCTTCTAACCAAAACAGAGGATTCAGGTAACTCTAATTCTGCTGCTTTACTCAAGAAACGTGATTCTCTAGAGAAGGTAAAGTTGAAAGTAGAGATTTCTTTGAAATTCTTAAAGCCATGCCAGTTTGATAGTCTCTTGATGGCATTCCATGATATCTGTGCAAGTTCAAGAAACTAATTGAGTCATGCCACAAGCCAGTCAAATTCACACACAGTGTTATGTGAATGGCCAGTATTAGCTGGAAAATCCTACAGTGAAGTATTTCGATCTTGTCATGAATGGGAAAGTTAATGTTATGGCAACTGGAATGTGTGGAACACTCTACTGGACAAAACTCAAATATCATGTTGCCTATATTTACTGGAAAAATGGATCAAAGTTCTCTTGACAACTTTTACTAAGCACTAAGGCTGTATTTGGTTTGATAGCAAATAAGAGAGAAACAGAAAGTTCTCATGCAATTTTACAAAATTTGTTAAGAAATTCCACTCAACTTTCTGTTTCCATCTTATTTTCTATCATACAAAACATAGCCTAAAGGAAGCACTTTTTCATGGAAGACTGTAGTGAATAGCAAACTATGAATATACACTGTAACTACACTAACCAGAGCATATGTGCTAGAATTGTCATTCCCCGTCTTAGACATACTAGTGACAACCAGAACTACAACAAAATTACAAAAAAGATGACCAAGAACAAAAAAAGGGAAAAACATTGCAATAAAAGAAGTAAAACCATCATGCCAATCTCAAGGAGACAAAACTCGACTTTGTTATGTAACAAAAGCATTGCAAACTCAAGTTAGAATTTGTTATGTACTCACTATTCCGAAAACGAAAAGAACTTAATAAAATAAAATAAAAAGAGACACAATAACACAAAGTCACAAATAATTATACGGTACAACGAAGAATTCACCTGGTACTAGTACCATGAAATACATCTTGAGATGTGTAATATTACAGTGTTAGGCATTAGAAAAGAAAAAAAAAAGGTATAATGTTACGGTGTTCATAGTGCAATATTTATATCTCAGGATGCTTCTGAATGAAATCAAAGGGGAAGGCGAGATTTGAATTACCTCTTCATACTTTTGAGTGAGATTAAGACGCTCGTCCTCCGACATGTCGGGCCTCAAGACGGCCATGGTCTCGTATTGGCGGAGGCCAGGTGGGCACTGAGGCTCTTCCTTGCCATCCAACAGCGAAATCGAGGAACCAGGTGGTTCATCATCTTCGACTCCTCCTTCAAAGAAGGAGCCAGAGAAGTCTAGAGTTAGGGCCTTCACAGAAAGACCACGGCTGCTCCTCTGGCTCTGCTGATGCAGGTGCTCGGTTATTTTGGGACAAGCTCTAGAATTGACATTGAAGGAGGTTAGCGTTGGAGCTGAGGAAGAAGGTGAGGTGAGAGTGGGGCAGTAGGAAGAAGAAGTGAGGATTGAAGCTAGTGACGGAGAGGCCATGGTTGCTGATTTACTGTTGCTTTTCTTGTCAGACAAAAAGGCAGAGGGGAGAAAAGGGATGGAAGCATGAAACGACTAGGACCAGCGACGGAAACCGGATAAGGAGTATGCGCGCATTACGCACAGGAGCGTCTATTAACGTTGGACAGTACAGTGTACAGAATGTAGTTATATGTAGACAAACGAAGACGCACCTCTCTCCCTCTGGTGATGGGATCTGTTCCTCACAAATGGGCGCCTCGCAGGCACATCCACCATGCATTGGGAACATCTCCCGTGAATTATAATTAATAAGTACGGAAGATGTTCCCAAATACATGATAGGATGTGCATGTGAGGCATCAGGTGTGAGCAGATCGAGTTCTCTCTCTCACCCTATCATGGAGGGAATGGGATCTGCTACTCACACTTGGTGCATGCATATCCCGTGAAAAATAACTTGTAAATATGGGAGATGTTCCCAATGCATGATAGGATGTATGTGTGAGGCGCGTGTGAGGCGTGAGGCACTCTATGTGAGGAGCAGATCCGGACATGGACTATAGGCTAAGTTACTATTTTACCATCTTCCATGGTTCCACCACCAATGGAATCGGGTGGGCTTGCCACTTGTCTGCCTGGACAAGAAAGATCTTCCACTGGATCACAATGACCTTGTAGTGTGGAAAGCAGGAGTCCGGTTAAGAATGAGTTGGTTCAGTCAAACCACTTTCCGCATGGGATGTTGGCTTTTTAGAAGCTTGACAACTCGCTTTTTTATCTTTTTTCTATTTGGTTGGGGAATATTTTTTCGCTAAAAGATCATATCCCGAAAAGACACAAGAAGCTTGATTCGAGTTTATTTTGAGAAGTTATAAATGGAATTTCTTGCCTTTTTTCGTCTCTTCTTCATATGGAAAGATGTGCCTCCAAGTCCAACCAAACGATCTTTAAGCTACCAAGATCATTATTTAAAAGCTCACTGTCTTTTGATTATTAGATCTTTTAGAAGATCTTTAAAAAAAGACTAATTAAAGGTCTATTTGGTTTACAATCGGAATAGGAATCAAAATTCTTTGGAACCGGAATTGGAATCAGAATGGTCTATTCCCATAATTTGTTTGATTCAGACAGGATGGAATGGGAATTGGAATCAATAGGACGAGATTTCATTCCCAAGGGACGAGGGGTAGGGAATCGTCATTCCCTCAAACGGGGGAACGCTATTCCAACAGGAATGGGAATAGGATTCTGATTTTGCCCAATCAAATAGTTGGAATCGTAATAGCCCATTCTGATTTTGATTCCCACCCTATTCCTTTGAACCAAACTAGGCCAGAGAGTTAAAAATCTTGTGATGCTTTGCCCATGGACTTTACAAACCATGAACCATATTTGTATATAGTATATGGCAAGGTTTTAAAAAAATAAGCCAGAAACGGAACCGTTCTGGCCACCGATTATCGGGTAGACGGTTCGACCGTCCAATTTGAACAAATGGCATATTCCGACAACAAAGTTTAAAAAAAACTAAAAATAAAAAAATGGTCAAAAACCATTGAATGGATCGACGGTTCGACTACCCAGGTCAACGGGTTATTGATTGATTCAATAGTTTTTGGCTAAAGACCGAATTTGAGATAAAACAGAACCAATTGCCTAAATGATTCCCGGGACAATCTAAATCAACGGTGGTTCGAAAACCATGGCATATGATGGTTATTGTTTGGTAAATAGCATTGACAGTGGATGATTCCATCACTTGAGGAGCCCATCTTGCCACAATAAGAACGAAAGAAAAACTGTGAATGGGAAAGGACTCTTCCATATCCTGAGAATCTAATTATATTAGTGGTGAAGTATCACACTATCACGTCTTGTCTCCATTCACCATCCACTTAGAGAGGTAAGAGTACTTTTGATTGAGAGAGAGAGATGCATGCAGTAGAGACCCCTTAGCTTGAAGGCACATGATAAAAGAAAGAAAAGCAATAACAATAAACATCTCTTCAGTCTTCACTACCAAGTACATACAGATACAACAGTAATTGCGCACATACATGAATATAAATGGATCAATTTGAAACACGTAGGACCCTGGTACATATCTAAAAGGGGAAAAGGAAAGAGAAAAGTGTTCTAACGTGGATGCTGTGGTCTGCTTGACTCCTGGGTCAACAGCTAGCCCATAGTTAGATTAGAGATTTCCTTTTCTTATTATTAATTAAGTATTCACATAACAACACTGACAGTTTTCGTTTTTAAACTATTCCTAAAGTTTAAGAAATTAATTAACTCTATTTTTATTATTTTAATATTGTCTTAAATATTTCTACTATTTATGACAATTGACTGACTCTACCTTTATCATTAGGGTCCATTAACATTCCATCAAAATTTATAGACGTGACTTTTAAAATCCAATTTTATCTTTACCATCTTCCTCCTTTCAATAGCAGCAAACCGAGCTGGCTCGATCTTAACAGTGGCGGAGATAACCCCCTCCACCTCCAGCTCCTCATTCACTCACTCTCTCTCTCTCTCTCCTCTTTTTCCCCTTCAACTTATCGTCTTCCCCTCAACTTTAGACAAGATGTTCCGACGGACCCTTATTCTCTCTATCCAAGATGAAGGCGAGCCAACCAGAAACAGCTTTGTCATTTGTCTACCCACCACAAAAACTTTGTTGCGGTTTCTTCATCATCGTTGTCATCATCGGAGAAGACGACAATGTCTGTATAGGTAATAGCTGCGGAAGAGCCGGTAGGGTCCAAGGAAGGGGCAGACAAGAATCGATAACCATCAAGTGTCGGGGAGATCACTCAGTCGTCTATCGGTGGACAGTTGTTAATTTTCCCCAGGGTGAAATTCTAGGGCACTCTTTTGTTTTTCCCCTTTCTTCAGTCCTCTACGCGTGTGAAATGGCTCCAACCTCCAAACAGACAGCCATCAGTGATGAAAAGTGGAGAGAGAACAAAGGGGAAGAAGGAGAGAGAGAGAGAGAGAAAGAGAAAGGGAGGGGCTCTCTTCTTTGGCCTGGAAATAAGCTCTGAGCGAGTTGAGGAAGAAAGAAGAGGGGAAGAAAATGAAGAGTTGGGCCGAGGAAGAAAGAACCGAGCATCATCGCTCGTCGACAACAAATTGAGACTCTACGATCGTCAAATCTTGGAGTAAGAAAGGATGACATTTCTCTAGCAAAACCATCAAGATTTCCATCCCTTAGTGTAATTTGTCCACTTGTAAAGAAGCCCAACAACATTAACATCATATCCTATCTCCCTTCTGACATTTCAGTTAGATCCACCGCAGTAGAATCCCCCCCTAAAAAAACCGGTGACCGATCCCCGATCCTAGGCATCTCCAGCGAGACGCAACACAAGGGATGCATTTTTTTTACCCGCATTCCGATCTGCAAATTCAAATTCAACAATTAAATCTCCAACAAAACTGAAAGAAATTGAAAACCGAAGCAAAGAGTGTTTGTATATTGGACTCCTTTTTGTGTAGTAAAAAATGAAGAGCTTATGGAGACAAAGAAAGCTAGGGAGAGAGAGCTAGTGAAAGAAAAACCTGCGAGAGAGTTCTGAAACCGAGCAGAACCCAGTGAGATGGGGAGAGAGAAGATGGAGATTTGATGAATTTGAAGAGAAAGATGAAGACCAAATTGGACCTATGCGGCAAAGACCAAGCTGATGAAGATGGAAGAACCGGAGTTTTCAATTTAACTTAAGGACAACGATATTTTAACCCTTTTATCAATACTTTAAGACAATATTGAAACAGTAGGGATAATGTTAATCAATTTTTTAAATTTTAAAGATAATTTAAGAAATTTATCCTCTTTATTAATATACTTTTTTGTAACACCCTTTTTATTAATATACTACTTCGACTGTAATCCACTTTAGTTTGATACACACAAGTTAAAAAGACGAATATAATTTACGCTTTATTATTGTATGCATGATTTACGTTTTTAATATTATTTATATACATTACTAAATTCATTTCAAGAAAAGAAAGCCGGAATCACCACCTTACCTATGTGACGGAGGAGCTACCCCATTCGTTTCTTCCTGAATTAATTCTTGTCTCTCACCCGGCCGGCTATGACCCATCTATCATCTAACTTTATTCGAAAGTTGAAATTAATAACACTAATCCCACGAGGACCACATGTCAGTGCCCACTACAGGCGTTTAAGGGCACTAATCCTTAGAGCATGAAGTTATTCTATCGTCTATGATAATATATTCAAAAAAAAAAACGCAAGGATTAGAAAAATAGATAAATTAAGTATGTATTTCGTTCCGTAGACGTTTATGAATAAATCGTTTATTTGTATTTTTTAATTTTAAATGTTTATTTATATTTTTTCATTTTAAATGTTTCTTGTTTTTGTTATTTGATTGGGTTTCACTTTAAACATTTTTTATTTTTTACCTCAAATTAATACTCATTAAAGTGTGCCACATCAGTACTTGGTTTCAAGAAACATTAGGACATTGAGGGAAATAAGAATTTGACGTTTCTCCAAATGCTTCATGCATAAAAATTAAAGTATTTCAGTTTTCTACTATTTATTTGATAAACGATAAAATCAAACAATTGTTTCATTTTRCTTTATCTACAGCAAACGCCAACACCTACGTGGCRTTGATGTAACAACATTTTTTCAATAAACACGCACGGAACAAACACAGCCTAATATAGAATCAGTTGATGAACTGTTTATAAAACGGTATCCAATTCGAGGCATTAATGTCTTATGAGGTCACTTTGAGTTTGAATTAGTAGTACTTGGGGTCTAGGGCTGGCCGGCCCATCAAACTATATGTGTAAACCTATGGACGATTTGCAAAGTAATCTTTTTCTCTCTCTCATCTATCTCCCTTAATAATGGCATTCCCACTACGCCCAATCTCCCTAGTTATAAGACAGTTTTCTATTCCCCATGTCTTTTCAATCTCTAGTAAAACAATTTTAAGTAACAAATCTCATGATTAAAGATTTAAAGGGCAAGAGTTAATCCCCTAAAGTCCGATATCTCAGATGAGAACGTTCTAATCGATCATCAGTCATGAATGAAGGTGAAAGTGAAAGCGTTGATTAATTTTAATCAGATAATCAACACTTTTCTTTTTCTAAATAAAATGGGTCGGTAGTCTCTTTTCTAGACGGCCTATCCTGTTTCATCCAAGTGGAGGAGTGATGAAGTGATAAATCAATCCAGAGTCCAGAGAGTCCAGACCGTATATCATACGTGGCTACGGGGGACTGTACACTCCGGCCCCCAGTCCGTCCATGACGTCGAAACTGTAGTTATATTTGATCCAAAAGGTTGGTAAACCTTGTTTTATTCTTGTTTTTTAAGTCACCTCCGTTTTCAAGCCGGAGTTATGAAGTGAGGACTCCTGTGACCCAGAACATCATCCTTTTAAACTAATCTCAGAAATGGCCAAAGACAGAGAGAACGAAACTAAGCGATACGGGAGACACATGGAGCCTCCTTTGTGCGGCGGCTGCGGCCCATTAATATCCTAGGCCGACGCGCAATAACGAATTACCACCACACCTCTTTCAGTTTGTCTGGCAAAACCATCCTATATATATCATTAAAAGATGAGTTTTGTAGTTGCATTGACATTCTACCAAATCAATCATAATGGGTGTGATGCCTGTGAATTTGGTATTCTTCTTTACATAAAAAAAAAGAGAAATTATAATGGATGATGGAATAAAGGGCATGTTTTGGAATTTGGAGGGTGAATGTATGGATCTGAGTGTTTGGGTGTTGGGTGGGAGGACCCATATCCTTAGTGGGGAGCCGTGGGCTAGTCCCATCATAAAAAGTAGAGAATATCATAATGTTTTGTTGATCAAAAAGTTCCTCCAGCTCCAGGTTTATATTATTAAAGCGTCTATATCTCTATCTAACAAAAACATTACCTTAAAGTTAAATTCAGTAGACTACCTTAACTTCTTCCATAAATACACAGCAAAAATGTCTCCCATCTTGATAAATCCCCAAGTTTTGTTCTCTAACACCATCCTTTCATCATCTCCCTGATCTTAGGGCGATTGGAGATTAATGGGTCTTCCCACGACTCCAAGCCCTCCTCATCTCTATCCTCAAGCACTTCAACGAAAACTCTACCAAGCCTTCATATTTTCAGTTCCAATCCTTTTTTCTATAATTCTGTTGCTCTTGTTCTACCTTTTTTACCTCAAGAGAAGGGCCTCCAATCTCTCCCCCTCTCCTCCAACTCTTCCACTGAGATCAGGTCAAGCCACTCCTTATAACCACCTGGTACTCCTCTCTCTTCTCTCTTCTCTCTGTTTGTATGTTTATCTGTCTGTCCGTCTTTCTCACTTTCTGTGCTCCGATATCTTCTGTGTGTGTGGGTTATTAGTTGTGATATAACACCCAGTAGAGTGTTGAACCCAATGAATCATCATTTGATGAAGCTTCCCATAACTCTGTATAATACCTCATCTGATGAAAAATTTTCTCTTCTCATGTTTCAGTCTCCTGCCGTGGCGTTGAAAGAGGAAGCCAAAGACAAGCTTCCCATAGTTATATTTGATGAGGATTTAAAATCCCGAGATTCACAGTAAGTATGATATTCTTGCTTTGCTTCCCTTAAATTAATTTATAGTATATATACCTTCGATATCTGAACTTACTTTATAGACTCTACCTACACCTACTGAATTCTGTCTATTTATTTGCTCTTTTTTCAACACTGCCCCTAGATTCTGAACATAGAACCATGTTTCAATTCTAACATTCAAGAATTCCAGCTTAATGATTGGTTAAGCTAAAAGCTAGCATAATCAGATAAGTTTTGACCATTCTGGTCCGCAGATATTTGTAGCTCTAATTTTTAACTCAATACTGTTTTTAGTCGAAGCAAAAATCAACTAAATATCGATTAGAAAAGAATCAGGGATTTTCCAACTCACCGCAATTTGACCCAAACAACAAGCTTCTTTCTTTAAATAGAAAAAGCATCATTGATATCAAATCAGTAAGATTCAGGGGAGAAGGAGACTAGGATTGGCATTTTCAACTCAAGCTATTCCGATGCTAGCAGAAACAATCGCCCCTACCCAACCCACAAAAACAAAATCTGCAACAACGAACGCACTGATACATGTGGGCCGAATGCCATTAATTATAGAATAAATCAACTGTTGGTTTATAGACTAGACGGTAAGAACTCGATTGGTTATTGTTGCTTTCTGTGACAAATTTTAACGAATATCATATCGCCTTTGCAGATGTTGCGTGTGCCTGGGAGATTTTGAGATTAAGGAACAACTGAACCAGATTCCTTCTTGCAAGCATGTGTTTCACGTTGATTGTATTGATCACTGGCTCCGGGCAAACGCAACATGTCCACTTTGCCGCTGCTCCATCCTTCTCACCAGAAAATCTATCTCCGACCCTCCTCTTCAGTTCAACTTGCTGCAACAAAATGACGATGCAGTAGTGGTGGCACCCGACCATTACCCACAAATTGTATCTTCGGAAGCAGAATCGGTCGATGTCAACAGGAACCTCACAAATTCTTCTACCGAAGATGGGTGGAGACAAATCCAAGGATTCAGATCTGGTGGGGGGACAGGCTTAACAGAACCCAGTGAAGATAGGCAAGAGTTGTCGGTTTCAAGGGACGACGAAGGAACCAGTTATCATCCACATGGAAACACAGCTACTGTGCACATCCAAATACATCCTTCATGATTCTATCTATCCACATCCAACCCCTATTTGATGAATTGATTTGAAGTTTTTTTTTTTTTTTTTTTTTTAAAAAAAAACATGATACAATATCATTAATTTTCAGCCCCATGTCATTTCCCTTCCAAATTGCACGAGGGTTCTTCTCATACTTAGATGCCTGATCAATGTTTGTACAAAGTTGAGGCAACTTTAATTCTTTCATTTCATACATTAAATATTCCCAAATCTCAAAGTTCGAACAGAGAATGGTCTCCAATACAGACGGCAATGCTTCATATATATGAAAATAGAAATATTTAGCAGGTGGCCAAGTCTCAAAGGCCAAAGCTAAAACATTATATAGGCTACCAATAAAAGAACCAAAAGCAGGAGGATAGAAGTGGTAGTAATCTTAGCAGGCATCTTTCCACCGTCGGTCCGCCAGAAAATGGCCTCATAAATGGGCCAAGAATTGACTACCCCAAACCCAGAAATA